TCCCCCTCTCTCTCTCTCTCTCCCTCTCCCTCTCTCTCCCCTCTCCCTCTCTCTCCCCCTCTCCCTCTCTCTCCCCCTCCCTCTCTTCTCCCCCTCCCCTCCCCCCTCTCCCTCCCAGCCTTCTTAGATCTCGTGTGTTGCAATTTGCTAGTGGATGACAGTTCAGAGGCCAAGTGTATGCCACGTCGGTCCACTATGCAGCGGGCTTTTGGCATTAGGATGTGGGATTTCCACAGCCAGAATGCCCTAAAAATATGAAAATATGCCCGTTTTTTTTCGGTTTCCGTCGCGGGCAAAGGTGTGTTGATAATGGGCGGCGGGGAGTGATTGTGGTGTTGCTGCTTCTTGCTTTTTTTTTTCTATTCCGTTCTCTATTTCATTTGAAGATATGTTGGATAGCGTTTATTAACGTTTTTTTTCTTTTGTGATTGTGGGTGTTTGCTGCTTCTAGCTGTTTTTTTTCCATTTTCTCACTTTTTTCTTTTCGTGGAGGTGTAAAAAATGTAGCTGTTGGTTGGCGTTTATTTGACTTTTTTCATGTTTTCTTTTTTTATTGAATTTTCCGGGTTGTCAGTGTGTGGACTCGCCCAAGCGTATGAGGGGAAAATGGGAGAAAAAAAAGAGAGTGAAAGAGGAAGAAAGGAGATAGTTATACGTAGTTGGATCTGTCGTGTGTCGTTATTAATAGTTAATTGCTCAACCGCTTCCCTGTCGTGATTGAATTTGGAACGGAAAGGAATACTCTGCTGATAGTAAACAGGTCGGTTGTTTATTTCGCTAAGGCATTCATCGCCTTTCTTTCTTCTTCTTCTTCCTCCTTTTTTCTTCTTTCTCCTTATTTTTCCTCTTCTTTCTCCTTATTTTTCCTCTTCTTTCTCCTTATTTTTCCTCTTCTTCCTCCTCCTTTTTTTCTTCTTCCTCCTCCTTTTTTCTTCTTCCTCCTTCTTTTTCCTCTTCCTCCTTCTTTTTCCTCTTCTTCCTCCTTTTCTCCCTCTTCCCTCCTTTTTTCTTCCCTCCTTCCTCCTTCATCTCCGACCACCTTTATTGACGGGCATGAGCGAAGTTGAATGAAGCGTGAGGACGTGAATATTGCCATATATATGTAGTAAAACAAAAAATCGGACTTTAGAAGAAGAGAGGGAGAAGAGGAGGAGGAGGAGGAGGCGGCATTTCGTTAATCACCCATTGAGGACTTCTGAATGAAAGAGCTACACGTTACCGCTGGAGATTGTTCGGACAATGCGGCGTACTATTTCTGGCCAAGTGGCGCAGACGCTATTTCCGCTCCTCCTTGCTTACCACCTGGCAGGCAGGCGGGAATGCGTATTTCCATCGACCTGCAAGAAGTCCTCATTTTGGATGACTTCTCACGTCGTTATTTTTTGGCCTTGTAGTTAATGGCTTTATTTTTGACTCGCGGATCTGAATTTGGACGTCGCGGCCGCCCACGAGTCGCCTGCGGCAGCCTCTCTATCTCTCCCTCCTTGTGATTTCGCCCTCGCCTATGGGTCTCGGCGGCTCCCCCGCCCCCTCCCCCCCCCCCCCTCTCTCTCTCTCTCTCTCTCTCCACCCTCTGCTGGCCCTGTGTTCTCTCGGCCGGTGCTCTCCCCCTCTCTCTCTCTCTCTCTCTCTCTCTCATTCTCTCTCTCTCTCTCTCTCTCTCTCTCTCTCTCTCTCTCTCTCACACACTCACACACACACAACACACACACCACACACACACCACACACACACACACACACCACACCACACACACACACACATGTATATATATATATATTTATAATTCCCCTCCTCTCCATGTCCACCTCTTCCCCTTCCCCCCCCCCCACCCTGTGCTGCATTTTCTCCCCGCCCCCACTCGACTTCAATTATACGAGCCATCTTCGCTGCGAACCCGCCGCCTCCTTCCTTACTCTCCCTCCCCTCTTCCCTTCCCATTTCTATTCGTTTACCCCTCCGCTTTACCATTTCTTCTCTCCCTCTTCCCCTTTTCCATCTCCCCTCGCCCGTCTCCCGTTATTTGCGTACCATCTGTGTTATCTTTGTTCCCCTCGCGTGACGCAGGACGCCCCCGTTTTCAGCGTGTACCTCGATGCCCCGGCGTGGCGTGACTTGGCCCTGAGTTCGCACAAAAGATCAAATTTGGCCGAACTGTTAACGCATTGTAGGTAGGATATGCTGACTCATCGGAATTGCTTTAAGCTTATCGCATTTCCGTGCACGCGAAGAGAGAGACGCGATGGGAAGTTCGACCACGCATCTCTAATGAGCGACGAGTCTTGTGCATTTTAACTCTTATCTCTCTCTCTCTCTCTCTCTCTCTCTCTCTCTCTCTCTCTCTCTCTCTCTCTCTCTCTCTCTCTCTCTCTCTCTCTCTCTCTCTCTCTCGTCTTGTTTTTGTTATGCACTTTGTTGTGCAATTTGCTTCGTATTTTGTTTGTGGGTGGCGGACATGGGGGAATTAAAGGATTGTTAGCGTGCTTTGGCCCTCGGGAGCTTTAGGTGAAGCACGGCCGTCGCATAAACTTGAAAGAAAAAAAAGAAAAGAATGTGGGCTACAAAAAAGAGGTAAAAAACGCGGGTTTCATCAGTACTCTAAACCTCAGTTGGCACTCGAGTACATAAGGTCAGGGAGGCGATACGAGAATAAGCTTGTGGTTGATCTAGTGGGTAATTCGTATCGTTGTCTCGTTCAAACCGTCTCGCATTATCAGTACTTGGAGGAGCAAGAGGAAAAACGTTCTGTAGACCCGGGCGCGGCGAAAGACCCGGCTCCCGAAGCACGTTTGGGTAGTTAAGTAGCGAGGGTCTTGGCATGGACGTGCAAACGTACGTATCGGCTGGGCTTTGCTTACGCAGATGCTATTTTGCGAGATTGTTTTGGTGGGCGGTCGCTCGGGCGATTTGTCACTTCGATGGCATTCAAGTCATCAGTTGTACTTGAGAGGCCAGACTATACCCGGCAGCCACTGAAGGATTTTTTATGGTATTTGATCCAGTTTCTTTGGTTGTTGTCTGTTAACATATCGCGTTAAGAGCGACTTAATGTTGAACACGCACTGGCAATCCCCGCGCACAGACCGCGGTCGTTGGCGGGATCTCGCGAATCACTTCATCAGCGATTAGACCGAATAGTGTCCAGTAATTCATTGGTGGCTTCCTGCAGCTTGCCAAGGTAAACCCCGCAAGGCCGAGCGCGTCCCCGGCTTCTGCCTTCTCGCCTGCATACAAGGAAGGAGTCAGCGGTAATATGACGCCCGGACGCTGTTGGCACCCCACCCATCTTCAAGGCTGTAGTCGGTCTCCCATCCTGCGGGGCGAGGGGGCATCCTTCTCGCCTCCCGCTCCCGCTCGAGTGTTTGAAGCGAGGCTCATCTCTCGGGGATGCGGGCCGGCTGCGAAATTTAGTGGCTACTGTGCTTAATTTTCTGCCCGTGAAGGATGAGGAACCTTCTTTTATTACTGCAGAACTTTGTTT